ACTTTATGTGCCTTGGCATTAGCTTCGCTATTAACCTTACTATATTGTCTTTGCAAACAGATAGCTCGCGTCTCAAAATTCGTTCCACCTTTTGATTGTAGGGAATTTTCTGATTAGGCGATAGATTAGTAGACGATTGGGGCTCAGGATAAGGAATATTCATTTCTGGAATATTCGGTTTGTTTTCTGAAGAGTCTGAATTAACTCTTGATCTCAACTTTTTTTTTTTAATTTCATTACTAATACTTTCCTTTTTTTTAAAGTCCAGAAAATCATTTTCCTCTTTTTCTTCCAATGGTATAGACTCTGTGCAGATAGTTTGATATATGTCAGATCGTGTTATCAGATATGTTTCCTGTCCCTTTAGTGGTGCCTTCTCGAGGCATCTGTTCCCGAGTGCTATTATCGTTGTCAAAATGAGCATCAACATGAGATGAAATAGGGGCTTGTGGAGTTACTGATAATGCCGGAGAAACCAAAGATTATGAAGTATAATTAGTAGTTTGACTTTGCTTTATGATTTGTCTTAGTTTTGCTTTTTCGATCTTGAGATTAGCAATTTCTTCTATAATTTGCTTAACTTCCCATTCTCTGCCTTAAACTTAATGACTTGTTGTTTTAACAAATCTACTTCGGATTGCATGTTCGATAATATTTTTTATAAGATATAGATTCGTTCAAAACTAAAATCGCGGAAAATTCTGAATTATTCCACGTGACAATTTGTTACGCGGATCACTTTTGCCAAGAAAAAAAAAGATAATTAAAAGGTTAGGCACGTAGTGCTATAATTTATATTTAATATTTTAAAAAATGAATATGTTGAGAGAGTTAGAAGTCAGCTAAGTAAAAATTATAGAGAAGCAGGATTTCAAGGGAGGAAATCTGCCAAGCCCTAACCCATATGATGACAGTTCCTTTCCCACTACTCATTACCTAGATTATTTGTTTTACTATCAACTTATAAACCAATTTGATCTAAGTACTACTATAATCATCCTTCTTTTTAATATTTCTTTCATAAAACCCTTGTACTGTCATCTTCTTAATATTCCCTCCCAATAATCGAATGTCCATAGCTGCAGAAAAACACTTATCCTCTAAACTAAAATCATCATTGGTCTTGATCTAATCAAAATATTGCTTAAATCGACCCCAGAAGGTCAAGATGATACCCATAAACATCAACTGTCCCAAGCTTGCAGAGGAATGATTTGAAGCTTGACTCATCACGCTATGTTGTTCAAATTCAATCTCTTCGATTCTTAGATCCATCACATAACGCTGATTTATTTGATTTATTTCACTTTGGAGAGTTACGATAGAAGCGTTGATTGATTCGAATTCGGTTGCGACTCTACCAAAATTGTTGTGATAGTTTTGAAGAAATTGTTCGACTTCATCAAGTCTCGCAGTAAAAGTATTTAGCATTACCAAGAGTCTTATTTTAGAAGAAATGATACTTCGTGCCTGGACCTCCGCTATAAAGCTTTCATTGCGTGAAATAAGTTCAGCATTAAATTTGGCACGGTATTGGAGAGTTCGGTTAAGAACCTGGCATCACGATCGACAAGAATTTTATTAACCATACCCGTATCGTATTTCTTTCTCCATTCTCGTAAAAAGGTCCTTCAACTATCTGATATGCTGGTAATTTGGGGCATCTTCACTATCGAATAGTCTAACTAGATGATAATATCTAAGATTTTATCTATAGCCTTAAATTTTATTCCATAAGTTGCAGAAAGTGCTGAGTTCAACAATCCTAATTTGGATTTTATTGACTTTAAGCTAGATTTTTTAGCACTACTGGACGCGTCTATTATTAAAAACTGGTGCAATTTTTGGGTACCAAATTTTGGTGATACTTCATAGAATGAGTAGATCCATTTGAGTAAATTTATCATCGAATTTTTCTTGCCTTTTTGAATATACAGTATAAGACTCACTTGCTCTGTGGATGATGTCATATTAGACACTTGTCCTACTTTAGGGGGTTATCACTATAGACATGTGTCACTTGAATAATCATTGGTTTCGTGCTGACATTTTTTATATTGATCTTTGTTCGATTATATTATTACAATATAATTTGGAAATTTTAAATTAATTTTCAGTGGATAGTAAATGCCATTAAAAAAAATTGTATCAAGTTTTAGCGAAATAAACATGAAAGATTGCATGCTCAAATAATCAAGTAATTCTATGGGTCGGGTTAAGTAATCTTCAGATATAAATAAAATGAAAGAACACTTCACTTTTTGATATGTTTTCAGGTATGTCAAAGTGAAGGTAAGTGCGGTAATAATATATAAGAAAAATGGCAGAAGCCTTCACTTTTTGGCGAAATGCTTCTGGTATTTGATTGCGTAGCTAACTTCAGTAATATACAGTACTACAATAATTATGGGAGGTTACCTATTTCAGTGATATGCTTCTGGGTATGTTCTCAGTAGCTAACATATATGGCACTATGTACACTATGTACCTGCTTCCATGTGGCCGTGAGATCGATCACATACCATTGCAATCTTTCAACCACGCAGGCCTTCCGATTATAAATCCATCGAATCCACAATTTTGGTGAGAGTAATTTTTGCGGCTTGCGAAAGATATTTTATTGTGAAGGCGATTTTATATTCCGCTGTTAATTTGAATAAAGTCCTTTTTCAGTGAAAAAAATACTAGATTTTTTTTTTTTTTTTTTTTTTTTTTTTGATAAAAATAAATAAAGATAAAAAAGATAAATTTTGATGTTTAAAATTGAAAAGATCGTTTATGATAAAGATTTAGTTGTGTAGGTAGTTGGTAAAATATTTAAATTTATTTAATGTAATGTTTAAATAATAGTAATAAATTTATGACATTAATGATACTCGAAAATGACGCGTGTCTGTTATTATTTCGCTAATAATTAAGTTAAATATGATAGTAATTTATAACAGGTGATCTTTGTGCTAATAAACTTAATGCTTGGCATTGAGAGCCATTGTTATAACGTCGTTCAAGCAATTTTTTGAACGGATAAAAGTATCGGCTTTAATAATTTTCATCTTCGCAAGCTGACGATAAACTAATGCAAAAAAAAAAAAATTCTCGTATTTTTTTCACTGAAAAAGGACTTAATTCAAATTAACAACGGAGTATAAAATCGCCTTCACAATGAAAACATCTTTCGCAAGCCGCAAAAATTACTCTCACCAAAATTGTGGATTCGATGGATTTATAATCGGAAGGCCTGCGTGGATGAAAGATTGCAATGGTATGTGATCGATCTCATGGCCACATGGAAGCAGGTACATAGTGTACATAGTGCATATTATATATGTAAGAAGGTAGATATATGTTAGCTACTGAGAACATACCCAGAAGCATATCACTGAAATAGGTAACCTTCTCCCATAATTATTGTAATATATTACTGAAGTTAGCTACGCAATCAAATACCAGAAGCATTTCGTCAAAAAGTGAAGGCTTCTGCCATTTTTCTTATATATTATTACCGCACTTACCTTCACTTTGACATACCTGAAAACACCATAAAACATGTCATCAAAAAATGAAGTGTTCTTCCATTTTATATATATCTGAAGATTACTTCACCCGACCCATAGAATTACTTGATTATTGAGCATGCAATCTTTCATGTTTATTTCGCTAAAACTTGATACAATTTTTTTTAATGGCATTTACTATCCGCTGAAAATTAATTTAAAAATTTCCAAATTATATTGTAATAATATAATCGAACAAAGATTGATACATACCAATAAAAAAAATGTCAGCACGAAACCAATGATTATTCAAGTGACTCATGTCTATAGTGATAAACCCTAATGTAGGACAAGTGTCTAATGTGACATCGTCCACAGAGCAAGTATATTCAAAAAGGCAAGAAAAATTAGATGATAAATTTACTCAAATGGATCTACTCATTCTATGAAGTATCACCAAATTTGGTACCCAAAAATTGCACGAGTTTTTAATAATAGACGCATCCAGTAGTGTTAAAAAATCTAGCTTAAAGTCAATAAAATCAAAATTAGGATTGTTGGACTCAGCACTTTCAGCAACTCATGGAATAAAATTTAAGGCTATAGATAAAAATCTTAGATATTATCATCTAGTTGGACTATTCGATAGTGATGATGCCCCCAAATTACCAGCATATCAGACAGTTGAATGACCTTTTTACGAGAATGGAGAAAGATATACGATACGGGTATAGTTAATAAAATTCTTGTCGATCGCGATGCCAGGTTCTTAACCGAACTCTCCAATACCGTGCCAAATTTAATGCTGAACTTACCTCACGTGATGAAAACTTTATAGCGGAGGTCCAGGCACGAAGTATCATTTCTTCTAAAATAAGACTCTTGGTAATGCTAAATACTTTTACTGCGAGACTTGATGAAGTCGAACAAGTTCTTCAAAACTATCACAACAATTTTGGTAGAATCTCAATCGAATTCGAATCAATCAACGCTTCTATCGTAACTCTCCAAAGTGAAATAAATCAAATAAATCAGCGTTATGTGATGAATCTAAAAATCGAATAGATTGAATTTGAACAACATAGCGTGATGAGTCAAGCTTCAAATCATTCCTATGCAAGCTTGGGACAGTTGATGTTTACGGGTATCATCTTGACCTTCTGGGGTAGATTTAGGCAATCTTTTGATTAGATCAAGACCGTTGATAATATTAGTTTAGAGGATAAGTGTTTTTCTGTAGCTATGGACATTAGATTATTGGGAGGGAATATTAAGATGACAGTACAAGGGTTTTATGAAAGAAATATTAAAAAGAAGGATGATTATATTAGTACTTTAGATCAAATTGGTTTATAAATTGATAGTAAAACAAATAATCTAGGTAATGGGTAGTGGGAAAGGAACTGTCATAATATGTGTTAGGGCTTGGCAGATTTCCTCCCTTGAAATCCTGCTTCTCTATAATTTTTACTTAGCCGATTCTAACTCTCTCAACATATTCATTTTTAAAAATATTAAATGTAGATTATAGCACTACGTGCCTAACCTTTTAATTATCTTTTTTTTCTTGGCAAGTGATCCGCGTAACAAATTGTTACGCGGAATAATTCAGAATTTTCCACGATTTTAGTTTTGAACGAATCTATAACTTATATCGAACATACAATCC